GTTCATGAGCACTGTCATCAATATTTATTTGTTGAGGAATAGGAGGTTTATCGTCTTGAAAATATAGTGTCAATTCTTCTTGTTGGTCATCTTTATTCTCAGGAGCCTCAATGATACTCCTAGCTTTAATTTTAAGCACAGCAATCCATCCCTTTCTTTCATGATTAATAGATGGGTATGGTGTGTAATAAACTTGCCTTGCTTGACTAGCAAGAATGAAAGGCTTATAAGATCAAAGGTATCTTTTAGGATTAATGTCAACCAATCGATGTTTTTGATCTACTTGAACCCCTTGAGCAGGAGGAATCTCGTACCAACCACATTTGAATAAAATAACTGCCTGTCGATGAATCGATCCATAATACTCAATCCGAATTATTTCTTTAAGCACATCATAAAAATCATAATTTAATTCAATACCAATAGATCCGATAACACAGACACCATAATTCATTGTTCACTTATTTCTACCATAGAGGGCAATGTAAAATCAGAATCCATTGACAATATATCCATTATAGCAAGAAACATAATTTTTTGGACCACTGGATAAAGCTTTGATGTGCTCATGGACATTAATGAACTCATTACTAATTACCTAAATATATAGATTGCAGAAGAAAATGTTAGATGCATTTGAAGAAAAATAACATATATATGTTAAGGAATTGAATAGTCATATTATTAAATTCTCACAGCTTGTTCAAACCAGGGCACAAGGTCTCTCTCTCGTTTTGCTTGAATTTGTTGAGGATTCATATTTTGACATTGTTTTCTCTCAAATAAACTAGAAAATATGATAATAGTTTTTTTTTTATATATATTGCTAGTATTTTAATTTCAATAAATCTTAATATAACAAATTAAAGATTTTAGTGTAGGTTTTTTACCTGACCCATCCTCGCAATTCTTCGCAATTCTTTGTAATTCATTAACACATAATACGAAGCAGCTTTGCGTTCCTCTACCGTCAAGCAACGTCTTCCAATTTTGGAACTAATACGTTTTCCAACACATTTAAAGATGGATAGGCAACTATTATCACTAAATCCAACAACAATATTTCTAGGGGGATTATCAACTGTGCTATGTACTCCATCATCAAAGTAATGAGGGATAAAATTTGTGATTTCAGACATTATGTAACTTTCACATATGGATGCTTTAGGAGGTGCTTTGTTTTTTATCGTCAACTTAAGGCAATGCATTTGCTTGATTCACCAAGAATTATTATATAATTATGTTATGATTAAAATACTAATTTGGTACCTCAACTTCTAAGTGTATATCAAATATACCCTCAAAATTTGATATAAAATTGAAAGTTGAAGTACCAAATTGGAGTTACATTTATTATCATAAATTATACATTAATTATATTTACCTCTCAAATGGATACATCCGTCGAAATTGCACCGGTCCTTCTACACGAGCCTCATATGGAAGGTGGATTGCAAGATGCTCCATACTATCAAAGAATGAAGTTGGAAAGATTCGCTCTAGCTTACAAAGGATTTCTACTATCCTCTCCTGCCATATTGCCATGTCATTGACTTGAATCACCGGAGCACACAAGGCCTTAAAATACTCACTAATCTCAACAAGTGGCTCCCAAACTTGTTTTGGTAATAAATCATGAAATGCAATTGGTATAAGGCTTGCATGAAAATGTGATAGTCGTGACTTTTCATATCGAATAATCGTGCCTCTTGTGTATTGACACACCGGGATATATTGGAGGCAAATTCATTAGGGAATTTAAGTTTCTTCAACCATTAACATATTGATTTTCTTTGATCCCTACTAAGAACATAAGTGGCCTTTGGCTTTTTACTCGAACTCACTCCTATTTTCGGTATGTGCAGACTTTTCCTTTTATAATACAATTCTAGATCAAGTCTTGCATTTATGTTATCTTTTGTCATAGGGTCATCCATTATTGTATGAAGGATATTGTCAAAAAAGTTTTTCTTACAGTGCATGACATCTAAATTGTGTCAAATCAAGTTTGTGTGCCAATATGGTAATTCCCAAAAGATGCTCTTTTTAACCCAATTGTGCACTTCACCAAATCCATGGATTTCCTATTTCTAAGGTGGCTTACCAAATAGTACATCAGGCAGCCAATGGATGTGACTATGCATCTCATCACTAGACAATCTCTCTGGCATTGTTCCGTTCTTTATACGACCCTTTGTGAAGTCATTCTCGTTTCATCTAAATGGATGATGCAGTGGCAAAAATTGTTGGTGACAATCAAATAATGATGTCTTCCGACTGTGTTCCAACCAAAAAGCCTTCGAATTTTCCATGTAATAAGGATAAGCTAATTTACCATGTGTGCTCCACCCAAACAACATTCTATACCCAGGTAAGTCACTAATGGTCCACATAAGTACAGCCCTCATCAGAAAGTATTGACGCCTAAAGCTATCATAAGTTTGGACTCCAGAGTACGAAAGCTGCTTTAAATCATCAATTAATGGTTGAAGCATTACATCAATATTCTTTCCAGGACTTTGGGGACCTTAGATAATCAATGAAAGGAATACATATTCTTGCTTCATGCACATTGTTGGAGGCAGGTTCTAAACTGACACAAATACTGGCCAACAAGAGTATGGAGATGTAGAATGTCCCAAAGGAGTGAATCCATCAGTGCACAGACCTAACCAAACATTCCTCAGTTCACTAGCAAACTCAGGGTGAGTGTTATCCAAATGCTTCCATGCCTCTTCACATGTAGGATGAAAAATTTTCTCATTTTCATTATAACAATTTAAATGCCAGGTCATATGCTCGATAGTTTTCCTAGACATATACAATCTCTGAAGTCTAGGAATAATTGGAAGATACCACAAAGACTTTCTTGGTATAGGCTTAGCAAAATGCACATCACATTGCTTAAATCGTGGCTCTTCACATACCGGGCACTGTAAATAACACTGACTTTCGTATTCTCCATAATACAAAATGCAATTGTTCACACAAACATCATACTTTTTATACCCGAGACCAAGACGCCTTAACATCTTCTTGGCACTATAATAATCTGTTGGCAATTTCTCCTTATCAACTTTTTTGAAGGCCATTAGACTACGCATTAGCACATAGTCCCAATTAGTAACACTCATGTTAAAAAGTGTTTTTGCATTCATGAGCTCACACAACCACTTTAAGACAGTGACACCATCATCACACCTTTCAAAAAGAGGTGTATCAACTGCTCGCAAAAGATCAAAGAACTCTTTTGCATCTCCACTTGGCTCCTTAAATATCGATTTGTACTAACATCATATGGATCATCAAAGCTAGCATCAAATTGTGTTGCATCTTCTACACCTGTGGCACTATTTTCATTATTAAAAAAATTTGGTTCCATGGCATCATGAAGCATGTCTCTGAGTTGATCGACACTTGGAACATTATTCATAGCAGCAGCAACAGCGGCACTTGATGATTCACCCACTTGGGTGCAACGCTGTTTTTTATGAATAAATTCTTCGTGTCTTTTCCAAATAAAATACCCATCCATGATGCCGTTTGTAGTAAGATGAGATTGCACTTTGCGTCGATGATGCTATTCTCTATTCCAACACTTACTACACGGACACCGAATCATATTCTTGGCACAAAACATCGAGTCTGTTTGTGAGAATAGAAAATCTAAGAAAATCTCTACCTTAACATTAAATTCATTGTTCCAATATCCCATTTCATCTCGATGACGATATATCCAACTCCGATCTTCTCCCATAATCAAGTAGTACGTGCCTTAAAAATTCAATAATATCTTAATATTATATAACAGGCACTAAAATAATAAATATCAATTTT